CTTAAAAGGGGTCGTGACGGTAACTTTTATGGTATGTATATTTACCGAAGGAGGAGGGGAAAAAGAAGGGGAAGAGAAGGAGGAAAGGAGGGGGAGGAAGAAGAAGAAGAGAAGGAAAGTTGGAGGAAGTGGGGAGAAAAAGGAAGAGGTGAGGAAAGTGAGAAGAAGGAAAAGGAGGTACAAAGTCGGGGGAGGGGAGGCAAGAGGTGAGAAGGGCCCTCGGGTCAGTGGAATGGGAACCCACACATGCACCTCCACGGCCATGGCACCTGGAATGGGGGCCAAGCACTAAACCGAAAGGCCACTGCAGTAACTCCCTGTCCTCCCATGCCTGTACAACCCTCTCTCTTGGCCGCTTGAACTTGCTGTGAGATTCAAAATGTAGACCAAGCTTACGAACACAAATGAGAGAAAAGGAGAGGGTGCGTGCACACGCTCTAGTTTGCCAAGAAGGATCTATTTCTTTCAACCAGCCATCCATATTAACCCTCCGCTCTGCCAGTGTCAGAGACGACAACAGAAACTAGCAACACCGACAGCAAACACATTCTCTCAGGGGCTATAAAGGTTACTTCTAAACTGATCTAAGAGGGGGAGAATAATAACTGGTATTACTGACAAGGAAGGTGCAAAACACTTAAAAAGTGACAGCGTTTACTACTGTAGTTATTCATCACCATTTCACAGATGGAGAAACTGAGCTTACTAAAAGAACTTGCCCTCGGGCTCAAGGGAGATGAGATTTTAAACCCAGGAATGGTTGGCCAGTGCTATGGGGACATACTTCGGAAACTGAGGTCATCTAAACAGCAGGAACGAAAGGAAACAGAAGAGTCCATGAAGGCCAGCATGAGCCAGAACGCACTAGTAACACCATTGCCAAGATGTGGTGAGCCTTAACTACCGGCACACAACTCAAACCAAATCGGTTTAGGAGAGCTGAATGCTCTGCCCCATGAACCTGTCTGCGAAGTATATTTTTTGGCCAGCCCATGGTGCAGAGGTTAAGGAGGCCAGATCCCACATGGTCGACTGTGGAGTTCGGGTTTGGACCCAGTGGCTCGTAAAACCAACCAAGCATGTGTGCGTGTGCATGCCCCAAATCCCAAAAGGAGAAATGGAGAAGGGATTGCAGCATGATCACCCCTATAGAAGTATTTTCCTCTCTCTCCCCCGCTACCCTGTGTCCATCCCCAAGTTGAGCACATGTGCCCTCTGACAAAAATTTAAAAACAGAAGTCTGTATTTTTTAAAATCTTTTCATCTTAGCCTTACAGATAGGACTCACAAGAAAATGGCTCGACCCACAGAAGAGAAATTCTGGTTGGGGAGGAAGGTTAGTCATGGCTTCCGCACAAAGCCCTTTACTCTTCACCATGTGTTCAGGACTTACACAGAGGAAAGGAAATCTAAGAGGAAGGAGAAACACCCTCCAGCAAATAAATCGGTCCTTCACAAAAGGTCATTTGCTGACAACTGTCTATGCTTTCTAAAACACAGTGGTGGGTCGAAACGGGAGCCACAGCGTAAAGAGCCCCTTCTGAGAAGGTGACCCCGACTCTCTGCTGCGTCTGAAGGTTTGCCCAAATCCACGGCAATCAGCGAGTGCCCCGTGGCGCTCAGACTACGGTTCCGCCCAGTGAACCAGGACAGAAAGCCCGACAAAGAGCCCCAAGCTCCTGGGTCTGTGATTCTCATTCCAATCTCACCCGGAGATCCAGAAAACCACTTTCAGACACACCACGCCCTCGAAACTGGGCCCCACGTGAGAAGCTCGAAACTCCGCCCAGACTTCGCCATCGCTCTCTCTTCCCTCTGACAGTCACTCGTTTTCTCTTTTGGGAAACTGACAGACGTCCTTCTTCCTCGGTAACAGAGCTTTCTTTACAGAACACGCACCCTCTCATCCCTCGCTGCATCTCCGTTAAGTGCCTGGAGAACTCGAAAGGGGAGACAAAGGGCAAATGCCAGTCTGTGACCTCTGTCTGGATCTAGCCAAGCGTGATGTGTGAATCAGGTGTTTGGAATGGAGGTTTCCATGGCAACGAGACTGCCAGGCAGGCAGGGACATCACACCCTCTTTCTACCAAGGTAATAGAAACAATGAGGCCACCTGCAGGACCTCTGCGAGGGGGGCGGGGGGCAGCAGAGTTCAGAGTTCTCCAGCACCTGGAGGACCTGGCTCAGAGGCTCGCACACCCCCACTTTCAATTCCTTCCCTCCAGCTTCTTGGATAATTTAGCATCTCTAGGGAGAAAGGGAGGCTAAATGACAGAAGTACCCTCCCAAGGGGGATGCTTATGAGAAAATGTAGAAGGGGCTATGAGAAATACGTTTTCCTCGAATATAGAAAAAGCACTTCTGTTCCTCAAAGCGTTCTGCCGCCCTGACCACCGTGACACCTCTGTCCACGGAAGCCCTTAGGTTTTCTCCAAGACTCTTGGTTTCGCCTTGCAAACTGCCTTTTTGTGAACCTGGTCCATAGTTAGAAGACCCTGAGCTCCATTTTGTGTTGTGTGGATTTTTAAAAATTATATTTGCTGCAGAGGGGTACTTTAAAATCGTAATGAACTTTTAGGAAAAAAAATTTTTTTTCTTTGCAAACAGCTGGCTTTTTTGGTCCTACAACTTGGACACAAAGAAAAAAGTAGGCAAGTTTAATAACATCAAGTTTTCCTTGGTTATCTAGATGGGAAAAAGTAGTCTGAATGCCAGGTCTATGGGGAACAAGTGGCTTTTTAAACCGTTTTCCTGACTTGAGACTCACAGATGTTAAAGAGCCAGAGTGTGCATCAGGGACCACACCATCGAAGGCAGAAAACTGCACGTCTATGCTCCAGAAAAGAGGCCTCTTGATGCCTTCAGAGACTGGCAAGGAGAGCTTGGCCGCAGCGCTGATGCCTCTAGCAGACCACGATGACCAGTCCATCCCTCCTGCTGCACCAGAAGATGCGGCCCCCTGACACATGATCAGGCCACTCCTGGCTCCCAGCCTTTCCAGAGCCCCTAGTGCTGAGGTGCCCGTCTCTGGTGCACGCGGCCAGGCGTCTCCCTGCCTCTTCTGCTGCTTCTCCCTAATGTATGCTTCACGTTCCGTGCAAGTTCAACGATTTCTTACTGCCCAAATACACCATTACTCTCTCACACCCTGGCCTTTTTGTTACTGATTCAGGTAAGGAACGCGTACCCCTTTTCCAGTATCTCAGCTCAGACTGAATCTAACGGAAGGGTATCAATCCCAGTGACAATACACAGTAAAGATGTACTATTATTGGGACCAGCAGTTAGTGTAATGGCTATGTCGCTGGACTCCCATGCAGTTGACCATGGTTTGAGTCCCAGAACCGGTGGCTTAAACTCATGCCAGGTGTGTGTGCCCAGGATCCTGAAAGGAGAATGGAGGAGAAGGGATTGCGGCGTGGCCATCCCCCCTAAGAGGTGATTTCTCGCTTTCTGTCTGTCTCTCTCTGTCTTTCTGGTGAGTGCACGCACCCTATAGCAAACTCCTCTCCTAAAAAAAAAAAAAAAAATCAGAACTACAACTCGATGTCGATTGTGCTTTTGGGAGACACGCCCGCACTACAGGAAACAACAGCATGTGTGGTGTCACAGAGGAGAGTAACCAGGGGGCCAGAGTCAGTGTGGTCGTCATTTCAGATGGCACGGGCTGAGCTGCTTGCTCAGAGCAAACACCCAGGCCAGGCTGACACCCGGGCAGGAAATGGAAGCTTGTGACAGCCCAGCCCTGGAACCAGGGCTTGGGGGAGAGCAGGGGTAAGTCGAAATGAAAGAGAGAAGCTTGACATTTTTCTATTACCAAACTGGGCAATTAAAATATTAAATCTGAAATGTGAGGCACTGTAAATGCCCAAATATGGTGTAAGTGCTGAGTTTCCCAAACGTGTTTTCTCATCTTTCAACACATCACAGAACTGCCAAAACCCCAAAGAAGCATTTCCATTTTGAAAACAAAAATAAACCACACATATCCACGTTCTATTAATAGTGCTGTCTTGCCTCAAAGACCCTGCCTGCATCCTTGGTCAGACATGCGACCGGAGTTTAGAGACAAGTTAACATTACTGGGAACTCCTGGCCAAAGCAACCTGGACGTGTGTGGGTGGGCTAGGAGGGACTGAGGCAATGCCAATCAAACCTTCTATGCTTGCTTTTTTTTTTTGAGGGAGATTTTTGCTATAGGGTGTCTGCACTTGCTGGAGAAACAGCGAGAGACAGAAAGCGAGAAATCACCTCCCCCCACTGCCCACCCAGAGAAGATGGCCATGCTGCAATCCCCTCTCCTCCATTCTTCCCTAAGGATTTTGGGCATGCATGCAAATGCGTCTGGAGTGAGCTTTAAGCCAGCAGGTCTGAGACTTGAACTGCGGTCAACTATATGGTAGTCCAGCAACCCAACCATG